ATTCCATTCCATTCCATTCCATTCTAACTTCTCTAGGAGGTGGATAAGCTGGGTAGACAAGGTGTGGATGTACGTGGGTGGGAACGGGTGTCAGATCTGAAAGGTATCCAAGGAAAATGTGAGTGAAGGGAAACACTGAATAGAATACATAATACAAGTTGGAAGGGACCTTGGAAGTCTTCTAGTCCAACCCCCTGCTCAAGCAGGAGACCCTATCCCATTTCAGACAAATGGCTGTCCAATCTTTTCTTGAAAACCTGCAATGATGGAGCACCCACAACTTCTGGAGGCAAGCCGTTCCACTGGTTTATTGTTCTCACTATTAGGAAATTCCTCTTTAGACTAGGTTGTATTTTCCCCTTGATAAGTTTGGCATCCATTTAAGAAGACATCTGGAGAACAATGGGCAGGGAATGCATTACTGGGCAAAGCAGGAGGTTGGTACATGGCCGAGGGATGTGAGAACTTGAGGGTCCATTGTGCACCCCATGTTCTTCACCTGTAGTTTAGGGTCTTCCTCCCGACAAGAATCAACAATTCATAAAGGAATGTTTCTGGAGAAAAGGAGGTAAAGGAGGACATTCATGGCCCATAGTATGAATCTGATCTACTCAATCTTACTTACTCCAACAGTCCTGAAATGTTGGGCTAAAACAGGGAATCCATCTACAAGTTGGACAGGGCTGGAAAGGCTTTGGAAAATGTCTGCCATGGAAAGGTTGCCCAGCTATAAACCTCAACTATGACAACTGAGAAGATGGAGGGACAATTACATGCAAAACTGATTAAAATAAGGACCCAGAAAAAGATGTGTTCTCTTGGGGGGCAATTACAGATGTTGGGGACATTGATATCTATAGGAATCCTACTGGGAGACTCCAACTTTATGAGATAATGATTGTGACTAGCTCAGATGTCCACTGTGATGATAAGCAAAACTTCAACAATATCATGCAGGATTCCAACCCAGGGATTCCTGTTTTGCTTTGGAAAGCAACAGTTGACCATAGCTTGACCACACAGAGGTTATAGATAAAAACCACAGAGGCTAATGTGGACATGAACCTGAAAGAAACCACTAATAGACCGTGATGAATCTTCTAAGGAGCACTGTCTTAGATAGTTTTCATGTCTGGCACCACCTCCTATTCTAGATATGACAGTATATTCGCTTGATCTCACAATCTGAACCTCACAATCGATACAAAAGCTCCGAGTGGCACAAAAAGCTATGGAAAGAGACATGCTCAAGAGAGTAAAAGAACTGAAATGGAAACGGGATAGTCACATAGCAAGAAGAACCGATGGCAGGTGGACCAAGGCAGTCACAGAACGGATCCCTCTTGATCAAAAGCATCCACAAAAGAGACCTAAAACAAGATGGATCAATGACACCAGCAACTGTTGTGGGCCCAATTGGCAAAAGAAATCCCAGGACTGTATGGCTTGGAAACAGACGGAGGAGACCTTCAGCCTGCAGGGGATGGACAATGGCTAAAATGATGTTGATGGTTCTCTTGATCATAATCATCATGGCTCTGGTATTGAAATCACCCACTTGGGCTCTCTTAACCCAAAAATGAAGCTAAGGGACCGAAGCTGCCCCAATTTTGGGACTTTATGAAATCCCACAGTAGACCCTCCTCCCCCTCCCTGGCACTCTACCTACAGTCAAAGACTCACCACGTCCATTCTGATTTGGTCTGTAGATGCTGCCCACACTCATTCGGCCTTGGTTGACCCCTTGGTTGTCTGGAATCAACTGGGGAGTTTCAGAATTCCGGATAGGAAGGTAGGGCTCAGGCCGAGGAACCCCGTGGGGGTCTAAGGGCCGGAAAGGGGGCTGGGGTTCCACGTTGCGAGCAGGGACGTAGGACTCTTCAGGAACCTGACCAAAGGGAGGATATTGCCTTGCCCAGGGCTCGTTCCCGTAGCCGGTACCAGTACTGGAAGGCGATCCAGGGTGTAGATGCAAATTATCTGCAAGAGGGACTCCTTGGCCCTGGTTCTGGGTGGATGCGTAGGAATCCGGGACATTTTGGTCAAAACTTGTTCCAGTGTCGTGGTAGAGGCTGTGGGAATACCGTCTGTCTAAGCCATCTGGAGATGGGAGCTGTTGAGCAGAAGGCACGTACGGTCTCTCCTGGACAGGGGCGTAGGGTTGAGCGCGGTAGGGATTCTGGTCCTCTGCATAATCTTCGTATCTCGCTCTGGGTTGAAAAGGGTACACCACTCCAGCGCTGGCCGCAGCGGCAGCCACAGCACCGGCTCCTGTCCCAGTGGTACGGTAGTAATTGTAGCTCTCGTCGTACGCCCGGGGCACCTGCGAGTCGTAGGATTCATACTGGTTGGCATAAGGGGGCTGAGGATAGGAGCCCTGTGGGTAGAGCTGCCCAAGTGCGACGTACGAAGAGGAAGAGGACGCAGCACCCACCTGCCGCTGACGAGGAGTGGATGACCATGGACGATGGGGGTTGGAGTTACTGTCTCCAGTGCTTCCATCTCTCCAGTTGTCTGGGACCTGCCCAAAGCCGAAGGGGTGCCTAGTCTGTCCCCGGACGGTATCAGATCCTGACCTGATGGGTAAAGTTGGCGCCTGTCTCCGAGTGTTCCCTGCACTTCGCTGTCCTTGGTTGGTGGCAGCATCGGCCAACATCACTCTGGCGCTGCTCTCGGCTCTTACGTGGCTGGCCGGGACATACTCCGAGCCGGAGTTCAGGAGACTATAGAGCCTTCCGTTATTCTCCCATTGGATCATCTGCCTCCAGTGACCGTTGTCCGCACTGCCCTGCTGTGGATATTGTCCACGGACCAGCAGGAAGGCAGCAGAAACCATCAACACCCAGAAGTCCCAGAAGCCGTGAGCTGTCATGGTGGAGGCCGGGATCAACAGGCTTGACCTTGGTGGATGCTTGTTGGAGCAGGGAAACACCTCCGCGAAACAGCCCAGGGGTTGAGTTCTGACGACTTGCCTCTTCCCTTCTCTGCTTCCCTTAGCAAGCCGATCTCAGTGCTGTCCATTCCTCGCTTCTGCTAAGATGCCCCAGCAGTTCTTGGCAAATTTCATCTTGAGGTTGTGGAGGAGAAAAGTCTGCAAAGAATGAGGCTGTGGAGCAAAGGGGAGAGAGAGAGAGAGAGAGAGAGAGAGAGAGAGAGAGAGAGAGAGAGAGAGAGGGAGGGAGAAAAGAACCTCAAAACTTTTTCTTGACTTTGGTCTTCTGTATGTGGGTTGTTGTTGTTGTTGTTGTTTTTGGTTTTGTTACATTGCTGCAATGCCTGTTTGAAAAGGAGGTTGGTGGATCCCGGTTGCTGGATGGTTTTGCTCCTGCTCTGAATGAATAAGCAACAGGCTCTCAAAAATGCTGGGGATGTTTTAGGACTCTCGGCAAGCAATCTGCTCACAGGGTCCTAAAACTAGCCAGTTTTCCTCAGTTAGCCTTCCAGCGTTACTGTCTCCCTCTAGTCTGAAAAGAAAAGTTGGGAGGAAAAAGTAGGTGGAATATTTCTGAAACAGGCAAAGAAAGAGACACTCTATCCAATCTGGATAGCTTTCTTGTGCTTCCCAGGATCTAGGTGAAGGAAGAGGGACAGGCACAACTTCTCCAAGGCAAACAAAACAGTTTATAGCATGCACAATGATTTAAGCTGGAGAGCTTGGAATGTGCACAGAATCTTTAACGCATCTTCCATCTCAGCCTGCAAATATTATTTTCTTTTCTTAGTTGGGAACGTGGGAATGAGCACATGTATGCTTTCCAGTCGAGAGGGATTGTTTTGCAAAAGCTTGCTCTTTAAAAAGATTCACAAAAGAATAACAGAATCATAGGGCTCTAAGGGACCTTGGAGGTCTTCTAGTCCAACCCCCTACCATCCAGGAAAAATGGTTGTCCAATCTTTTCTTGAAAATCTCCAGCAATGGAGCACCCGCAACTCCGGGAGGAAAACTGTTCCATTAATTAATTGTTCTGTCAAGAAACTCCTCCTTATTTCTATGCTGGATCTCTCTTTGTGGAGCTTTCACCCATGACTTCTTGTCGTGTGCTCAGATGCTACGGAGAATAAATCAGTGCCCTTTTCCTTGTGACATTCTGGGAGTTGAAGTTCACAAGTCTTAAAGTTTGCCAAGTTTGGAGATCCCTGAGAGAGATGAATAACTGCTGCGAGAAAGATTTTCAGACTTATCCAAAGCTGCGAAACATAGAAGAGAGAAGCAAATTGCTAGTCAGAGGTCATTGATAAACTCAGAATTCACCATCACAACAAAGGACATTGATCTTTCCTAACGTGAAGGTTCTTGACATGCCTACGTGTCCTCCCCTTGGCCTCCTCTTGTTTATTTGCTTCTCTATGTTTTGGAACAGCAGGTAAATTTATCCAAATGGGTTCGATTTCTAGTTGGATCTAGTTCAAGGACAGGGAAAGGGTAAATCAACACCAGGGACGGACAATCAATAACATCTTTCTTAAACTCAAGGCTGGCCCTGCAATTAGGTTCTGTGAGATGAACATCCCGGTTGACAGTTTGCAGTGCACCCAAGTGTCAGCTTACCCACAATATTTTCTTATGCTTTGGGGCTGTTTCCTGTTGAAGGATCCCAGTAACCTTTCTCTTCTTTCTGCCTTGTCGGCTCCGAAGTCAATTTCCAATCCAAAATCTGTTTAACTTCATTCCTGAAAAGGCCCCTGTGGGATTTCCCCCAAGACTTTGCTTGCCAATGTCCTGGAAGGGAGTTGAACATGCTGCAACTTCAAAGCACGTAGTACTCAGCTATGCAAGGAAGCCGAGATGGACACACACACACACACACACACAAACACAAATGCAACACAAAAAGGACTTTGAGACAACAGGTGTGAGTAAGGGAAAATAGGGAAGGATGGGTTGACTGTCCTTCTTTATATTTTAGGAGTGAAACAGGCCATGTTTTAAACTGATGAGATGTAATGACTAGTAGAGCTAATCCAGATCTTAAACCACATTCTCCTCACTAAACGAGAGCTCCTTGAACAGAAGTAATAACCAATCAAATGCTTGTGAGGCTGTCATGTTTCTTTTGCGTGGAGGACACCTGACGCAGCTGAATGTAATCAATAGTTTTGCCAAGAGGGGTCCTTGGTGCTCTCTGAGCTTAGCTTGTTTCCTTGCAGACGTTCCGTTACCCAAACTAGGTAACATCATCACTTTTGCCAAGGGTGGGCTCAGCACGGAGGTTTAGAATGAGCCAAGTGCTGGAAATCAGGGGTCATTGAAATAAGATGGAGCAATAAATCAGATCTAGAGGAAGTGAAACCAGATCTCAAGTCTATAGTCCATAGTCCCAAGACGTTCTGTGTTTCTGTAGGCTTCAAGAACCTTTTCTAAGTGTCCTTTGATGGTAGGCTGCTGAGAACAGAAATGGTGGAGAGATTACTCCAGTTTTGATTTGGGCACCTCAGTCAATGTGATTTTTTGTGCCTGATCTGGTCTTGGGTTTGGAGGTAATCTACCTAGGTTTTTTGGTATGTGGAAGCACCTTGAGATGGACAGGGCCTGATCACACAGGAGAGAAATACTACAACCAGGTGTTCCGCTTGTTCCTTGGATGGAATCCCAAGATTCCACCTTAAGGATACATTTAGAATAGAATAACAGAGTTGGAAGGGACCTTGTAGGTCGTCTAGTCCAACCCCCCCCTGCTGCCCAAGCAGGAGACCCTACACCATTTCTGACAGATGGCAGTCCAGTCTCTTCTTGAAAGCTTCCAGAACTTCTGAAGGCAACTTCTGTTCCATTGGTTGATTGTTCTCACTGTCAGAAAATTTCTCCTCGTTTATAGGTTGAATCTCTCCTTGATCAGTTTCCATCCATTGTTCCTTGTCTGGCCCTCAGGTGCTTTGGAAAAAAGGTTGACCCCCTCCTCTCTGTGACAGCCCCTCAAATACTGGACCACTGCTATCATCATGTCTCCCCTGGTCCTTCTCTTCACTTGACTAGCCGTGCCCAGTTCCTGTGTAGCCATTCTTCATAGGTTTTAGCCTCCAGACTCCTCATCATCCTTGTTGCTCTTCTTTGCAACAGAGAATGAGAGATCAGCCAAGGGATCAGCCACTATAACTTGAAGGGGATTTAAAGCAGTGGTTCTCAACCTTTTTAATGCCGTGACCCCCAACCGGTTGTAAGTCAAGGACTAAACCGGTCGTAAGTCGAGGACTAAACCGGTTGTAAGTCGAGGACTAAACCGGTTGTAAGTCGAGGACTACCCAACCGGTCGTAAGTCGAGGACTTTCCCTGCCCAGGAGCGCCGCGCATGCGTGGTTCCGCCCCCTGTGCCGGCCGAGGCGTAGCTGGCAAGCGGCAGAGACGGAGCAGGCCGATCAGCAGCTGGCCCAGCTCAAGGGAGGTAAGGCACCCGCCGGAAAAGGGAAAAAAAAATGGCGGACAGCCTTGCTTGGCGACTCCCGTGAAACGGTCGATCAACCCCAAATGGGGTCACGACCCATAGGTTGAGAACCGCTGATTTAAAGGATTGACTCAACAGCCTTAAAGATTCTTTTTTTTTTAAATTAAAAGTTTTATGAAGATTACAGTATAAACCCCCATACCCACCCCCTCCCCCACTTCCCAGAGCTGAACACAGGGTTACAAATATAATAATCAAAATCTATCTAGCATTAACCAACTATTAAAATAACCAAGTCCATAATGCGCTTTAACTCCCCTTTAACACAAATTTAAACAAATTAAAATTAAACACAATAATAAACATATTCATAACCTAAATATTAGACAATACAATACTAATAT